TAGACTGTTAAGCTCCATGTCAAGCTGTTCCTGAACTCCTTACTATTCTCCTGGGACAACAACAGATTAGATTTAGACATTTCTGTATCTCAGTAAGTACCAACCATGAGAAACAAGTGCTTCCTATTTCTCTGCTTCTGGTTCCTCTAAGTTACGTGTTCGGAATGCCTTCTTCAGCTTCCCGTGTGTTAACAGAATTTAAGGGGTGGATTTGATGTCACTCTTCACTAAGTAAATAATGCCTCTTTTGCTCCTTGCCTCAAAAACCTCCGATGGCTTTCCAACACACTCAAAAACAAATCCAGTTATTTCTGTGTTGTGCAAAATCCTACACCATCAGCAAACCCCCATTCCAGCCTCCCGACACCCACATGATCTCATTTTCCAACATTCTGTCTCTTGCTCAGTCCAGTCCAGTCCTGTTAGATTTACTGACTCTTCAATAAGCCAAGCACATTGCTGTCTCTGTGCCTTCACACCTCGTGCTCCCTCTGCCCAGAAACTCCCCTGGGCTTGCTTCTTCCCTTCTTTGAAATTTCTGCCTGGAAGAACCAGGCCTTCTCAGACCTCCCACCTGACATATGATATAATTATGTGTTTCTTTACTGTCCCTCTTAACCAAGGAAAATTTAAGTTTTGTATAAAAGGAAGATTTCATCTGTCTTGTTCACTGAAGAATATAGAAGAGTGCCCAGCATATAGGAGGCATTTAATAAATATTCACTAAATATTTAGTGAGAGTTTCTAAAACTCTCTTAGAATTCTGTTTATTTTTGGTTATTCTGGGTGATGGGCCAATGTTAAAGAGCAGTTTTATCTTCAGAAATTGGTAGACTCCTGCTGTTCCCTTTAGAGGTGAAATACTTCCCACTTGTAAATGGAGGAACTTATTATCTGTCATCCTGTTTGGGGCTGTAGTTCAAAATCCCATACAGGAGGGAAATCCCATTCAACATTCTTTTGTCCTTGAGTTACTAATGTAGCTCACTGACATTTCTGTCTCTAACCTGTCAGGTCACTAATTCTAATGGGGCTTTATCTTCTGGTAGTGACAACACTGCACAGTTCATACCACTTTGCTATCAAACTCCACATGGTATCTGAGGGACTCCATAAACTTTTTTTCTTTTATTCAGATGTCCCTCCTTTATTGCCAGATGTAGCTTATTCATTTTTCAAGTTGGTCACATTACTCTTCCATACACATGTAGGATGATTCCCACCCTTGACTTTTGCTTATGTTGATTTTCCTGCCATTTCCTTCCCATCCTTATTCCTGAATTCAAGTCCACAGGCATTTGTCCCATGAGATCCTCATTGTTTAATCTAGAAACGGTGATCTTTGCTTATGTGTGTTTTATATTAACTATTACCCAAGGACTCACATTTCGTCTTTTGGTTTTTTAGCTATTACAAGTTATGTTAAATATTCTCGTAGATAATTAAATATGCAATGACTTGATTTGAGAGATGAGAGTTAATATTTTCATCATACAACATTTATTTAATCCTATATTAAAAGTTACCTGATCATTTACGATAGCCGTAATCTGGAAGACCTTAAGTGTTACATAAATAACTGACAAAAATAACCAAGTTAAATAGAGGGGAAAAAAGTCTTTGTAAACATGATCAGGTAATCCAGATCCATAATCTAGACTGATATCTCATAGTATATGAAGATTTTTTTTTCCTTTGGCTCAAACAAGAACATTTTGACAAAATGATAATAAAATATTAGAATAAAATGCTAAAGAGTCCCAGTGGAAACCCTAATTCTTCATAAAAAAGTCTGTCTGACCTGTAACATGTTAATATTCATCTGTATAAGGGTGGGTGATAAAGAAATGATTTTTTCCATACTCCTTTCTATCCTCAATGTTATTTTGTACTTCCCAAATTAAGAATTGAAAGTGGTGATTATTGTGGTGGTGGCCACAGTAGTATATAGTAGTAACAGAAGTAGAATAGTAGATCTACTAACAACGTGATGTAATTAAAAAAAATAATAACTCCAACTAAAATGTCTGAACAGTATCAATGAATCCATGTATCAAAATATGTGTAGATATAATGGTTTTCATCCGAAACTTTATTAAGGTAGCTTAATTTTAGTCCCTAGTGTTCTGGAGTTAAAGTCCAATCATGACTTTATGAACAAATCTACCTAAAAAATCCATTCAAGGACTTACAGTTGGTTGATTTTTCTGCATGAGCATACAGCCTTTACTAATCTATACCAAAAAGCCTCAGTTTGTTTCCCTGATATTTAATGTTCATGCCTATGGTATAAGAATGTTTCTTCTACTTTACTCTTAAACATTAAAGGAATGAAACCATCAATCCAGATAATAGTGGTGCATATTTCTCAGAGATGTCTTTCATTTCAAATCAGCAACCAAAGGTTTTTCCGTGTCATTTTCTTTGGTTCTAATGAGAGGTGTAGTATAGGTGTTAAACTTGTTACTCTTCTTTGATCATTTATCTTCTTGTACCTGATTCAGATCCTCAAAAGCAAAACTGTTCATGTTATCACTAAAAATATAAGTAGTCTCACTCCACACTTATTTTCTGCTAGAAGAAGAAGTTACAATGGTGTGGTATTCTACATGGTGTTTTCTAGACTTTACTAATTCACTGGCTTTTGTAGAAAAGTCAGACCCTTGAATGTCACTTAAATGTAGTCTTTCCTATGGTTGATTATGCAGTGAATACAAAAGAGGTATCTGGAAAATGTGGAATTAATTTTGAAAGTTGGATAAAGACCTTAGAATAATAATGGTGACATACAAGTCACCTATGAAACTGTTCTCTTGTAGGTGACATTAATTTCCTATCTACAGAGTCTTATTAGTGAATGTGTTATGTTTGTACACCCAAGAAAATGAAATAATGATTTTCTTTTTTTTTTTTTTAGCAGTCTATTAAAATGTCAAGGTTTATCTTGACTGCTGCTTTTTAATGTAAATGTTTGGGCTTAATTGAATTCCTAATATGTGATGTCACTTGGAATTCTGATAGGGTCCAGTAATTTTGCCTGTAAAGACACATTTCTTCTTAAAATGAAAGGTATAAGAAAAATACCACTTAACACAATGGCAGAAAAGTGGTCACATAAGTTATTGTAAGATTTTTATTGTAAGAACTTTAAAGTATAGGGACTAAGCTTATGTGTGCTTGCTCTCTTCCAAAGTACCAACTGGAAAGTTTTCTATGTAAAAGTGCCTGATAACTGTTTGTAATTGGTTAATTGTTATAGTTGGAAATTTTAGAATGATAAAAATAGAATTAATCTTGAATGTCAAAGTTCTACCCTTTTTTTTGAAAATAATGAGAATAAAAGTAATTATTATTTTACATTTCCATGTAAAATAGGAAGGCTTCCTTTGCCATGCTAAATAAATTTCAAGAATATGTCATATCCAAATCTCTGCGACTTTATTAAAATTTTTAACTATTCTGCTTATAGAGCTTATTTTAAAAATGCTAAAGATAGTATGGTGAGTCATCTAGGCTGTATCATTCTGGCAAGTAGTCCTAACTGCAAAATTAAAGTTCTATAACATTAACATGAGAGCAAATCATCTTATTCAGAGTTGATTCCTAGTGGACAGCTTAATGTTATGATTTCATTTATTTCAACAAAAGAAATATTAATAGATCATTGAGACTGCAATAAAGTTTTAGCTGAATACTATGCCCTTATTGTATACCAACCTCCCCCCAGAATAGTATACTTATATTTAGAATGAAATTGTTCCTCTACTTTTAAGAATCAGGCATCCCGTAGAATACAATGATGTAAACATATTTGTTATGGGAATTCCCAATTTCTATATTTCTTGCCACAAAACATGTCCAACTATGATATTTAAAGAATTATTAGAGGGGCTCCTGGGTGGCTCAGTAGGTTAAGCTTCTGCCTTCAGTTTGGGTCATGATCTCAGGGGCCTGTGATCCAGCCCCATGTAGGTCTTCCTGCTCACTGAGGAGCTGCTTCTCCCTTTCACTCTCCTCTCCGCCCCCCCGCCTCATGCTCATATGCTCTTTCTCTCTGTCTCAAATAAATAAATAAATAATCTTTTAAAAATTATTATTATCTGTTTATACTAGTCAAATATCAAGATATGTCTAAGTGAAGTATATTTGGAAGGATATTATATTTAGTTTATCATGATATAATTTATAAATAATAAATTTATTGATTTTTTTTTTACCAGTTGGTAAGTTTATCCACTGATAATAAGATTTTGCCAATTTGCACATTTATATTGGCTGCAAGTAAAAAGACACCCAACAACAGAGGCTTAAGTAAATAGTTCCAGAGATTATAAATTGTGGCTGGTATTGGTTCACCTGTACCAAATATCATGGTGCCTCTCTTGGACATTCTGATGAACTTTCTCAAGTGGCTGCAAGTTGATTGCTGAAGTTGGAGACATCATGTTTAGCAGAAAGGGAAAAGGGGCAGTTGATGGCTGTGTCAAGAAAGCTGGAGTTGCCTAGGAACCTTCAGAGACCCCCACTGTGGTTTTCTAGCTACAAATCTATGAACAGCTATGTGTGAGCTGGGAAAGGAAGGCAAAGGAGATGGTGATTTTAAGTATAGATGAGATCTGTAACATGTTCTAATTTCCACCTTATTTACCACTTTTTCATATTACCTGTGTCTTACTTTTCCTTGTCCAACCAAATTTTCCTGTTGGTTTTCCTGATTAACCAAAACAGTGGTACTCTCCTGACTCTGTGGTTTAAAGTGGGAGATCACTGGACTCTTGTCATGTGTTATCCTCCCAAAAGCTTACATGGTTTTCACTGATTCTCTAAACATATTGTATGGTAGTTGTATATATTCTTTTGCTTCAGCTTCTTAATTAAGAAGTTGGTGACAAAATGGACCTTTTGACCAGTCTGGGAGATTAACTGAAAGTACATGAGGCTGAGAGCAGTGATGTTAAATGTTATCTTTTCAGAAGTATTGATTATTCTATCCATTACAGATCCCTTCAAGTTGATTGGATGTCTCCAGGGAAGCCAAATGGTATCATTCTCGGATATGATGTCTTACGTAAAACATGGCTTTCATGCCCTAAAACCCAGAATTTAAGAAAGGACCACAGGGGCAAGCTCTGCAAGGCAGTGAAGTGTCAAAAACCTAAAACCATCTGTGGACATAGGTGCTATTCTCCTGAATCTAAGGTATATCTTTTCATATGAGTCAGTGAAATACGTTTTTCTCACTAAACACTCCTGGTGAAATCACTTGCTTCTTAAAGCATGATATGTCATAATCAATTTTTCCACTAGTCTATCAGGAAGACCCCAAGGAAAAGAAAAATGCTTATAAAAACCCTTCATCCTCATGAACATCTTAGCCTTCTCATTTTTTATCATCTTCACAGGAAATATTAGTTTATTGAAATGGCAAGGAACTCCCGAATTTGTATTTGATTGAATGACTTGAATTTTCCTTGCAACAAATCCATTCAGCTACAACTGGCTGTTAGTTTACACGACACTGATGAGTAAATGTGAGCAGGACCTTCCATGGTTTGGCAGAAATATTTTAAAATTATGGCCATTTGCAGATTAATGTTCATATTAGTTGCAGTTTAGGAATCAGATCAATAACACAGCCAGACAGAGGAGTTTGCAAATGGCTTTTATTGACAAATGATGCAGAGAATCCTTACTTTGAAGGTAGGATTTCACCTAATGAAATAATGTTCCTATTTGTCAACAACAACATCGCACATTTAATGTACTAAAGCTGTTACTAAATTCAAAAGATTCACTGCAAAAAGACACAGTAATTAAGGAAGTGAGTGGTTGAAGCAATATGGATCAAAATACAAATTATTACAGCTGACACTGGCCAAGCAGTGGCTATCATCTAAGAAATGTTTTAAATCTAGCAGTTACTATCTATACTTTTTTTTTTTTTGGTACATAGGCTCCTGAATTGCCATTATGCCTAAGTTTTACATTATTTTAGGCCATTAAATGTACACTATCTGATGAACATACCTCCATAAAATAAAATTAAATTCAGGATTTTTGAAGGGAAAAATTCTGGAATAAATTTGCCCATTAAAAAATGTTCTCTGGGAGAAAGAAAGAAATCTTTGATGCATTAAGCAAAGGCTTATTTTTCTTTTTAAGGATTAAGGACATACACAGGTATTGACAGTTAAAGAGAATAAAGGAAGTCAATTAAAATCTCAAGAGAAAGCAATCGTTTGTAAATTTCTGTTTAGAGTTAACTATGAATATATATTTCTTGGGTGAGAAGTTGGAAAGAGACAGAAAAGAGACTAAGAATTTTTAGGCTAAATCACCACAATATCAGGAGGACTAGAAATACATATGCAAAATTTACCATGTATTCAAACCCCAGTGAACATCAGACCTGGAAGGCTTGTTAAAACATGGATTGCAGGTCCCACCCCCAGAAACTCAAATTTGGTAAATTTTAGGTGGAGTGTGAAAATTTGTATTTCTAACATGTCCCCAGGTGATGCCTTTGCATCTGTTCCAGGAACTGTATTTTGAGAATCACTACACTATAGACTTTCTTTAGGAAAACTATAGAACAAGGAAAAGGCTATTCAGATATTAGGTACACATTTATCAACTCAAGTTATTGAAATTTCCGTTTATGTTTTCTGAGACAGCTAACTTGAAACTTGAATTAGAAATTAAGAAATAATTCTGTTTATGTGGAGACCTCCCAAGAGAAATAATTGCTTGAGCATATCACTTTGGAGACCCACCAATGATCTGAACCAAAGGGCACTAGAAAAAATTCACAAGTTTCATGTGGCTAAAGGAGCCTGAGAATGGCAGTGGAAAGATGGGAGTGAACCAGTTCTAATGCACCAACACTAAATAAACATTCCAGTGAAGATTCCACAAGAAAAATGACACTTTTTTGCTTAAGGCTTAAACATGGGACATAATTTCAAATTTACTTTTCACACAGAGTATGGCATCAAAGAGAAGGATCACCCAGTTTATCTCTGGCATGAGACAAATTCTGAATCCTCACTGCTAATAACTAAATACAGAAAAGGAAATTTATCACAGTTGATTTAGCATGGCTACCTGAGGGGATAAACTTTGAATTTAAGAGCCCTATTTCTTTGTTCTTTGATAATTTTTGAAAAATGAATGAAGTACTACACTAGTGGTGTTTGAAGACTTAGCCCGCGTTCTGCTGCTTTATATTGAGCTTGATTCACGAGTTGGTGCAAGCTAGAAATAGCAATGTGCAAAATGGAAAAAGAGAAACACCTCTAAATAGTGGTTGATTTTGCCTGCCACAGGAAGCTTCTATCTAATTTACGTGACTTATGCCAAGTGTAGGTTCTGAGGCTACATTTCAGCAACTATTTAGCATTTGATTTGTTATATATACAGAATGTCAGTCTCTCAGACCTCAAGTGAGCATGCAAATAATTATTTGATTGTTCAAGCACATAATTTCTTCACAGCTCCTGGAAAAAGACACATCATTAAAAGGGCTTTTCAAAATTAATTTCCATATAAATTTCTTTTTTTAATATGGTGGCCTATGACATATACATATATATATGTATATGTCATATATATGTGTGTGTGTGTACGTGTGTGTGTGTGTGTGTGTATATATATATATATATATAGATGTAAATGTTAGAGTCTGTTGAGATTACCCTGTCTGAAAATTGAGTTTGTAAATAAGTGATCATATAAATTATAAGGAAAAGGCTATTTATTTAAAAAAAAGGAAAGATCGATGAGAGGTTTCCATAAATGTGTTTTCAAATTAAACACTGATTAAAATTAAAACAGAAATATGAAGACAATTTTTCACTTATAATTCTAAATCCTCTTTACATTGGGAGCACTGACATTCAAAAGAGAATTCATATTTATAGAGTGTAATAACAGAGCACAAAACATGCTTGAAGTCTAAAAAAGCTACATTGTATCATAGCATATATAAAATTTAAATGATACTGGGAAAATGCATTTTTCAAACTTTTGAATTTTTATCATTAATATACTACATTTGGTCTCAGGTCAAGGGCGACTAGAGTATAATTGTATCACATGAGATATGACGGTCTAGTACTTTTAATTAAACTGATATTTCTTTAACTCCAATTCCCACCTTCAGGTTTGCTGTAATGGAGTTCTCTACGACCCCCAGCCTGGGCACCAGTGCTGTGAAGAGAAATATATCCCATTCGTTTTGAATTCAACTGCAGTTTGTTGTGGCGGCCGAATACAAGAGGCTCAAACAGATCACCACTGCTGCTCTGGGTATTACACTAGAATTCTACCAGGTGAGGATCATTTCCAAGTGTGCTCAGTGTTGGAGAGCAAGAATTCCTGTCCTCTTCAAGCACCTTCTAGCTGGACTAAAACCAAATTGACAGAGAACTGATTAACAGGAGAAAATCAGATTTAATAATGTGCCTACCAGGAATCCACACAAACAATGAAATTCCAAAGACGGTGAGGACAGTCAGGCAAAATGAGGTCTATGTGTCATTCTGAACTAAGGGGGAGGGGGTAGGGACCTGGGACATCAGAGGAAAGGAATGTATTTCACAGAGCAACAAGAAGAAAAGCAGATGTTTGGTAATTAGTTGTTCGCCCTGCCATACAGATGGGTCACTCAGATGAAATTTATCTCTGCTAATAATCCTTATTCTGGGAAAGATAGCCAATTTGGATTCTTCTATGTATTTAAGGGAGGGGCAAAAGTTTCTCTTCAGCCTTCATGGTCTCGATTGCCTTTAGCTTAAAAAAATCTTCATGCCAGAGTGGGCCATCTTGGGTGGCTGCCCTTGGCCCTTACATCAGTAGTCTGGGAACCTGAAAAAGCCAACCCATGACTCATGCCCATCAACTATTTCAAGCACCTCCTCAACAAAAATTGAATGACTAACACATAACCAGCCGCCTGCTTTTAAATATCATTTCTTCTTTCAGCTTTGTTGAAGTCTAAGCAAGACTAGGTAGGTTCTAAAAGAGAAGGAATACAAGGGACTTATGGTATCTGCCACATAAGGAAACTTATCAAGACCTGGTAACTCCCTTTATTTTTTACTTTATTTCTTCCCATGGCTAAGCATTTTCACCATAAATTCTGTGAATTTCTAAGTGTTCCACCCCATGGCTTCATTTCCTCCATTTCTATTCTGGACTATACATGCATTGTCCCTGGATGGATTAAAACACAAATTCCATTTATCGGAGACTAGTCCACTGTCTGTGGTAGGGCAGAAGGAAGGTCGCTGCGAAGAATAGCAAAGAGAGATTTTTCCCTCCTCGCACCCCCATTTTCTTTCTTGTTATGAGTGACCAAATGTGCACTGTCCACATTTCAACTACACAAAACTTATACAATTGAGAATAAAGATGATAACATTTAGTATTTATAAAACACAAAGTCTCTGGCAGGCTCTGTATTTAAAGGTTTTACATATGACACCTTATATACTGTCCACAACTGTAGGATATTGGTATTTTATCTAAAGTTTATAAATAAGGAAACAGATTCAGGAAGGATTGATAACATAGCCAGATTCGGAGAGGTGGGAGTGGAAGAGCTGATGGGCAGATCTACGCATGTCTTTCCAAAATCCATGCTCAACTCGGCTTACTCCTTTTTTTTTGAATCTGTTATTTACTTTATTATTTTTTCCAAGTTTTTATTTAAATTCCAATTCGTTAACATACTGTGTAATATTAGTTTCAGATGTAGAATTTAGTGACTCGTCACTTGTATGTACTTGGTACTCATACAATACCCACCACCCATTTAACCCATGCTCCCCCCGACCTCCCTTCCAGCAAACCCTCCAGTTTGTTTTCTATAGTTAAGGATCTATGCACCCTGATGTTTATAACAGCATTATCAACTATAGCCAGTTATGGAAAGAGCCCATATGTCCATTGACTGATGAACAGATAAAGAAGATGTGGTATGTGGATTATTACTTAGCCATCAAAAAGAATAAAATCTTGTTATTTGCAACACAGTGGATAGAGCTAGAGAGTATAATGCTAGGCAAAATAAGTCAGAGAGAGACAAATACCATAGATTTCACTCATCTGTGGACTCGAAGAAGCAAAACAATGGGGGAAAAAGAAAAAGTCAAATATTTATTCTTATAAACCAAAATATGTTAATATATGTTAACATAGTTTTTAAAGTGACTATTTCAGACTTCTAAACCTCTTCATTACTGCCACTGACAGTTACTATTTATCCTGAGAAAGCCATTGACAATACAGATTTTTTTTTTCCTACCACCTAAGTTTAATGCCTATGTCTTCAGAAGCAAAGAAAACAGATATGAGATAAAGAGAAGATGTCCAAGAAAAGCTGAATGCTTCGGGATACCTAGTTTAACTAGGAATTTATGTTAAACATCCAGTTAATTCAGGTTATTGTTCAGTGTACCTTTGTGTTTGGCATAAATATGTGTATCCAAGGTATGTGAGAGAGAAATCTCTTTTGTAAAAATACTAGAGCAAAAACGGAAGGTAAGGTCATTAAATATATGCAAGTTTATTCAAGGCAGAGACTCTCTAATCTTCATAATTTTTCCTTAATACTAATAGACAAATCTGTCTTTATAGCAATGCTGTTCTTATTCTTTTGCAAAAATACTTTCATAATTAAGTAACTCCTAATCAACTAGATTTTCCAAGTGAGAAAAAACAATGGTGTTGGAAATAAGGATTTTGTAGAAAAGGATAACTTCTTTATCCTGAAATTATCGTGTTAACAACTAATCAAACTCTGCCAAATGCTTTACTCTCTCAAAATAGTTTACACTTTGGGAATTTTCTACTACATTTCCTATATTCTTTCCCCTGCAAAAAGTTGCCCTGAAAAATATAATTAAATAGATGAGATGGGCATGTTCTGTTGTTTTCTTTCCTGTTGTTTAGACTAATGGACCATACCAGGCTTTTCTCTAATTCTAACATAGAACTAAATAATAGTGGTTTTATTACCAAGTCTCATGAAAATTTTTGATATTATGATTTGCAGTGAACTGTTGAAACTGAGAAAATATTCTCTGTCCCTTAACATTGATGAAAAATCATTGGTTGTATCCATCATGTCTGCTAACTCTTAGATTTGCATTTCACCCTTCTCAATCCTAACACAAGTGTCAGATTGCAAGCTAAGAAAACAGTCTAATTAAAAGAAAAAATTCCGAGGTTCCTGGATGGCTCAGTCAGTTGAGCGTCTTGACTCTTGGTTTTGGCTCAGGTTATGATCTCAAGGTTGTAGGATCAGGCCCTGCGTTGGGCTCCATGCTCAGCACTGGAGCCTGCTTAAGACTCTCTCCTGCTTCCTGGGCCCCTCCCTGACCTTGTAGTCTCTCCCTCTTTCTTAAAAAAAAAAAAAAAAAAAAAAAAAAAATTCAAATAAACTTAACTCTTTTTTCCTTAAGATAAAATAAGCCGTGAAAGTCCAAAAGTCATTTATTGACATTATACAAAACTTTTTAATAAGTAATTTTTGAAGCAAGAGTTTTCAAAACCTTCATGATCTGTATATGATACATGCTCATTCAAACCTCAAACATTTCAATAACTTCCAAACTGTTGCGCATCGTCCATATCTGGATTCCTTTTAAGTAGTTCATTTTTCACAGTATTAGAATGCCTACCGTAGTGTCAAGGAAAAAAAAATGCAATCTCATGGGATCATCAAAGAGAGTGTTTTGCTGCAATCATTAATCTCAGTGTACCTAAATGAAGAGATTATACTGTGACCTCTATCCTCAGCCAATGGTCTTTGTTAACTACTTTAACACTGTTTACATCAAGAAAGAAAGCATAGTGACCCCAAACCATCTTGTATCTAAATGCAATTAAAATTCAATCGGTATTCTGTCAGTTCCAGGCTAAGATGGATATAGGCATTTTGATATTTATAGATAAGTCTGAAATATTAGTTAATAATATTTACTTCGTATTTTTCTCACAACTTTCCTTTATAGCACTCTACAACAAAGAGTGGCAGAGGAAAGAATGCTTATTCCACTCCCCTTTTTTTATAAATATGCTAATGACCTCAAGCTAAATGTTAATGTGGGTCATTCTTTGATAAGAATAACAATTAACTGTGAAGACTGCAATGTAGCTTTTAGAGAGAAAACATTTTCAGGCCTGTCGTGGAATAGATTCATTTTGAGAGGTTAATGAGAAGGTGACTGATCCTTGTATCTTACATCTAATAGACCTTTTTTGAGGGAAAAAGGATCAGTTTTGGTTCTCATTGATATAATCCACATCTCTTTTTATAAAGCATTTTCTTCTGTCAGTGACTGAATAAGAAAATATCTAAACTAATTAATATTTGCTATCCTCAAAACTGGCTTTAAAAAATGTTGGCTTTCCCCAATATATATATCCCCCCCCCACCACACACACACACACACTATGTTTCTTCTAAACCCACAGTTGTCCTAAATGATATTTAGCTAACTATGCTGCCCCTCTACCATGCGGTTTGTTATGTTAAAGTTTGCCAAGAAGATACACTGCTCTCTGGCTGTGGAGATTTAAAAAATATGGCACCCACATTTGAGACCAAATTTCAAAATCCTTTTACCCAGAGGAATGTAACAAGTACAGTAACTTTACTGTTCACAATAAGGTCTTTCGTCCTTTTTTGGCCTCTAGTAGAAGAAAAAATTAGAATTTCCTTCTGCTTATGCAAACCATGTTTTAGGATCCTTTCACTCTCTCTCTTTGACAAATAAATAAGTAAATTCCTTAGGAAGGAAGAAAGGAAGAAAAGAAGGAAGGAAGGATAGAGAAAGAAAGAAAGAAGAAAGAAAGAAGGAAGGAAGGAAGGAAGGAAGGAAGGAAGGAAGGAAGGAAGGAAGGAAGAGGAAGGGAGGAAGGAAGGAAGAAAAGGGATGCCTGGATGGCTCAATCTATTAAGCATCTGCTTTGGGCTCAAATCATGATCCCACATGATCCCATGTCCTGGGATGGAGTCCTATATTGGGCTTCTTGCTCAGTGAAACCCTGCTTTTCCCTCTGCCTGCTGCTCCCCCTGCTTCTGCTCTCTCTCTCTCTCTGACAAATAAGTAAAATCTTTAAAAAAAAAAAAAAAAAAAAGGTCCTTTTAAAGACTGTCAACTAAGCCAACTGTCCCCTACATTCCAGGATTTCGTACGTTGAGAGAAATCTGATTATGCCCTGACCCACTCCTCGGTAATTTCCCTAGAGAAATGAAAACGTGTGTTTACACAAAAACCTGCTCACAAGTGTTTATAGCAGTTCTACTCATAATTGCCCAAAA